TTAATTGTTTAGTATTAAATTTCGTTTTTTCCACAGCTGTTGTTATTTAATCAATGATAATTATTGTAGTGGATCAGTTTGATTATAATATTTTGGAATCGGTCATTTCAAGTATTAATTTCACTTAAAGAAGACACTTTGAAAGTCAGTAGTTACTAATGAAAAGCAAACTGATTTCAGAACATTAGCTCAGGAATTTTAATAAAACAATCATTAAAAAATAACAAAAAACCAAAATTGGAATTGGAATTGTCCAGCAATATAGGTCTTTTAAAATTTGATATTTTTGGTTGATTTACACAATACATAATATCAAAATATTAAAAACATTAAATAGTCTATAAATTATTTTTAATTTTTGATTATTAGCATTTTCTTTATATTTTAAATAAATGTCGAACTTCCATTATATACCAAGTTTAACATGTTATACAGTGAAAATGAAATTTGAATTGGAATAATAATTGAAATGTTTGAATAACAATTTCATTTCCTTTGAATGGTGAATTATTTGATCAATTAAAAGTTTTGTTCTTGGAATGAAGACTATTAGCTGATAAATAACAAATAAAACCTTAAAATTCCAATTTTAATATATTACAACAATTTATAAATGGAAAAGAGCTCACAGGTGAACAAACTACATGAATTTGAATAATATATTTAATTTAATGAAGTATAGAAAAATGAGAAAAAAAAAGCTAGTATAATTTAAACCCAGTTAAAGAGATCATTAATACAAAATCATACAAATGTATTAATTATTTAGAAAAAAAAATATACATATATACAGTTAAGGTCATTGATTCTTCTTGTAATTTGTTTTTCTTTGCCATTATACAGGGTGTTTCAGAGTTAAGTGGCCAAACTGCTAAAATGATTTAAAGACCTTAAAACAAGAAAACAATTTTCCCTAAGGGTATGTCCCCAAATACTTTGTTTAAGAGATATTCACACCTAAAGATTTTCGTTGTTGTGAATTATTTACGTTATATGAAGTAAATAAAACCCATTTATTTGTTCTAACTATTTTATCAGTTAAATATATACATTAACATTCATATTAAATGTTGTTCAAAGTGATTTTTTTTAAGCATTAACACAGGCTCGGCTCATCTTTCTTCAGCAGCAGTAGAGGAAGAACAGTACTGGATATGTGTTATTGTTTCACAAGATTCAATTATCCTTCTTCGTAAATAATTAAAGTCATTGACCGGACTTGCATAGAATTTTTATTTAATGTCACCCCAAATAAAAAAATCCAGTGGTGCCAGGTGGTGCAGGTAAAGCCACTGCTCTTACCCAAATCTTGTAAAACAATAACACTTATCCAGTGCCGTTCTGCCACTGCTGCTGTCGACATAAGATTCCGAGCCTGTGCTAATGCTCAAGGCAATCATTTGAACAAAATTTAATAAGAATGTTAATGTGTACATTTAATTAACAAAGTAGTTACAACAAGTAAATAGGTTTTATTTATTTCATGTAACACAAACAATGCATAACATTGAAAGTATTTAGGTGTGAATATCTCCTAAACAAAGCGTTTGCGGAAATACCACCAGAGGAAATTTTGTTCTTTACTCCTTAGATCCTTTTCTCTATATCAGTGGTTTTTTTTTTCCAGTTAAATCCATTTTTTTAGATATAGGGCTATTAGATATTATATTTTCGTATTAAATATATCATTTAAACATAATTTTTAGTTGGCTAAGTTGGTGAATTAATATTCATTAATAAGTATTAATACAGAATGTTCTATTCCAGTAAACGTCACATTTCATGCTTTCGAATTCAAGGAGTACCGATATTACTACCCATATTAAAATAATTCTGCAACAGGAAAGGTGTTATTTTCTCTATCTATTCCTAAAAACAGATAGAGGACCTTGGGGTTATAATTACTCAGATGAGGTGAAACCTCTTCTCTCACAGGTTGGAGAAGAACTTAAAAGTAATGTAACCCCTTTATTTTGTATTAATTGTTAGGTATTAAATTTCGTTTTTTCCACAGCTGTTGTTATTTAATCAATGATAATTATTGTAGTGGATCAGTTTGATTATAATATTTTGGAATCGGTCATTTCAAGTATTAATTTCACTTAAAAGAAGACACTTTGAAAGTCAGTAGTTACTAATGAAAAGCAAACTGCTTTTAAATTTCATGTAATGCAAACAATGCATAACATTGAAAGTATTTAGGTGTGAATATCTCCTAAACAAAGCATTTGTGGAAATATGTGTGGATATGTGTTATTGTTTCACAAGATTCAATTATCCTTCTTCGTAAGGAATTAAAGTCATTGAACGGACTTGCATAGAATTTTTATTTAATGTCACCCCAAATAAAAAAATCCAGTGGTGCCAGGTGGTGCAGGCCAAGCCACTGGTCTTAACCGAATCTTGTGAAACAATAACACTTATCCAGTGCCGTTCTGCCACTGCTGCTGTCGACATAAGATTCCGAGCCTGTGTTAATGCTCAAGGAAATCACTTTGAACAAAATTTAATAAGAATGTTAATGTGTACATTTAATTAACAAAGTAGTTACAACAAGTAAATAGGTTTTATTTATTTCATGTAACACAAACAATGCATAACATTGAAAGTATTTAGGTGTGAATATCTCCTAAACAAAGCGTTTGCGGAAATACCACCAGAGGAAATTTTGTTCTTTACTCCTTAGATCCTTTTCTCTATATCAGTGTTTTTTTTTTTCAGTTAAATCCATTTTTTTAGATATAGGGCTATTAGATATTATATTTTCGTATTAAATATATCATTTAAACATAATTTTTAGTTTTCTAAGTTGGTGAATTAATATTCATTAATAAGTATTAATACAGAATGTTCTATTCCAGTAAACGTCACATTTCATGCTTTCGAATTCAAGGAGTACCGATATTACTACCCATATTAAAATAATTCTGCAACAGGAAAGGTGTTATTTTCTCTATCTATTCCTAAAAACAGATAGAGGACCTTGGGGTTCTAATTACTCAGATGAGGTGAAACCTCTTCTCTCACAGGTTGGAGAAGAACTTAAAAGTAATGTAACCCCTTTATTTTGTATTAATTGTTAGGTATTAAATTTCGTTTTTTCCACAGCTGTTGTTATTTAATCAATGATAATTATTGTAGTGGATCAGTTTGATTATAATATTTTGGAATCGGTCATTTCAAGTATTAATTTCACTTAAAAGAAGACACTTTGAAAGTCAGTAGTTACTAATGAAAAGCAAACTGATTTCAGAACATTAGCTCAGGAATTTTAATAAAACAATCATTAAAAAATAACAAAAAACCAAAATTGGAATTGGAATTGTCCAGCAATATAGGTCTTTTAAAATTTGATATTTTTGGTTGATTTACACAATACATAATATCAAAATATTAAAAACATTAAATAGTCTATAAATTATTTTTTAATTTTTGATTATTAGCATTTTCTTTATATTTTAAATAAATGTCGAACTTCCATTATATACCAAGTTTAACATGTTATACAGTGAAAATGAAATTTGAATTGGAATAATAATTGAAATGTTTGAATAACAATTTCATTTCCTTTGAATGGTGAATTATTTGATCAATTAAAAGTTTTGTTCTTGGAATGAAGACTATTAGCTGATAAATAACAAATAAAACCTTAAAATTCCAATTTTAATATATTACAACAATAATTATAAATGGAAAAGAGCTCACAGGTAAACAAACTACATGAATTTGAATAATATATTTAATTTAATGAAGTATAGAAAAATGAGAAAAAAAAAGCTAGTATAATTTAAACCCAGTTAAAGAGATCATTAATACAAAATCATACAAATGTATTAATTATTTAGAAAAAAAAATAATTAATATACAGTTAAGGTCATTGATTCTTCTTGTAATTTGTTTTTCTTTGCCATTATACAGGGTGTTTCAGAGTTAAGTGGCCAAACTGCTAAAATGATTTAAAGACCTTAAAACAAGAAAACAATTTTCCCTAAGGGTATGTCCCCAAATGCTTTGTTTAAGAGATATTCTCACACCTAAAGATTTTCGTTGTTGTGAATTATTTACGTTATAAAAAGTAAATAAAACCCATTTATTTGTTTACTATTTTATCAGTTAAATATATACATAACATTCATATTAAATGTTGTTTCAAAGTGATTTTTTTAAGCATTAACACAGGCTCAGCATCTTTCTTCAGCAGCAGTAGAGAAGAACAGTACTGGATATGTGTTATTGTTTCACAAGATTCAATTATCCTTCTTCGTAAGGAATTAAAGTCATTGACCGGACTTGCATAGAATTTTTATTTAATGTCACCCCAAATAAAAAAATCCAGTGGTGCCAGGTGGTGCAGGTAAAGCCACTGGTCTTACCCAATCTTGTGAAACAATAACACTTATCCAGTGCCGTTCTGCCACTGCTGCTGTCGACATAAGATTCCGAGCTTAATGCTCAAGGAAAATCACTTTGAACAAAATTTAATAAGAATGTTAATGTGTACATTTAATTAACAAAGTAGTTACAACAAATAAATAGGTTTTATTTATTTCATGTAACACAAACAATGCATAACATTGAAAGTATTTAGGTGTGAATATCTCCTAAACAAAGCGTTTGCAGAAATACCACCAGAGGAAATTTTGTTCTTTACTCCTTAGATCCTTTTCTCTATATCAGTGTTTTTTTTTTCCAGTTAAATCCATTTTGTTAGATATAGGGCTATTAGATATTATATTTTCGTATTAAATATATCATTTAAACATAATTTTTAGTTGGCTAAGTTGGTGAATTAATATTCATTAATAAGTATTAATACAGAATGTTCTATTCCAGTAAACGTCACATTTCATGCTTTCGAATTCAAGGAGTACCGATATTACTACCCATATTAAAATAATTCTGCAACAGGAAAGGTGTTATTTTCTCTATCTATTCCTAAAAACAGATAGAGGACCTTGGGGTTCTAATTACTCAGATGAGGTAAACCTCTTCTCTCACAGGTTGGAGAAGAACTTAAAAGTAATGTAACCCCTTTATTTTGTATTAATTGTTTAGTATTAAATTTCGTTTTTTCCACAGCTGTTGTTATTTAATCAATGATAATTATTGTAGCGGAGCAGTTTGATTATAAGATTTAGGAATCGGTCATTTCAAGTATTAATTTCATTTAAAAGAAGACACTTTGAAAGTCAGTAGTTACTAATGAAAAGCAAACTGCTTTTAAATTTCATGTAATGCAAACAATGCATAACATTGAAAGTATTTAGGTGTGAATATCTCCTAAACAAAGCATTTGTGGAAATATGTGTGGATATGTGTTATTGTTTCACAAGATTCAATTATCCTTCTTCGTAAGGAATTAAAGTCATTGACCGGACTTGCATAGAATTTTTATTTAATGTCACCCCAAATAAAAAAATCCAGTGGTGCCAGGTGGTGCAGGCCAAGCCACTGGTCTTACCCGAATCTTGTGAAACAATAACACTTATCCAGTGCTTTCTGCCACTGCTGCTGTCGACATAAGATTCCGAGCCTGTGTTAATGCTCAAGGAAATCACTTTGAACAAAATTTAATAAGAATGTTAATGTGTACATTTAATTAACAAAGTAGTTACAACAAGTAAATAGGTTTTATTTATTTCATGTAACACAAACAATGCATAACATTGAAAGTATTTAGGTGTGAATATCTCCTAAACAAAGCGTTTGCGGAAATACCACCAGAGGAAATTTTGTTCTTTACTCCTTAGATCCTTTTCTCTATATCAGTGTTTTTTTTTTCCAGTTAAATCCATTTTTTTAGATATAGGGCTATTAGATATTATATTTTCGTATTAAATATATCATTTAAACATAATTTTTAGTTGGCTAAGTTGGTGAATTAATATTCATTAATAAGTATTAATACAGAATGTTCTATTCCAGTAAACGTCACATTTCATGCTTTCGAATTCAAGGAGTACCGATATTACTACCCATATTAAAATAATTCTGCAACAGGAAAGGTGTTATTTTCTCTATCTATTCCTAAAAACAGATAGAGGACCTTGGGGTTAATTACTCAGATGAGGTGAAACCTCTTCTCTCACAGGTTGGAGAAGAACTTAAAAGTAATGTAACCCCTTTATTTTGTATTAATTGTTAGGTATTAAATTTCGTTTTTTCCACAGCTGTTGTTATTTAATCAATGATAATTATTGTAGTGGATCAGTTTGATTATAATATTTTGGAATCGGTCATTTCAAGTATTAATTTCACTTAAAAGAAGACACTTTGAAAGTCAGTAGTTACTAATGAAAAGCAAACTGCTTTTAAATTTCATGTAATGCAAACAATGCATAACATTGAAAGTATTTAGGTGTGAATATCTCCTAAACAAAGCATTTGTGGAAATATGTGTGGATATGTGTTATTGTTTCACAAGATTCAATTATCCTTCTTCGTAAGGAATTAAAGTCATTGAACGGACTTGCATAGAATTTTTATTTAATGTCACCCCAAATAAAAAAATCCAGTGGTGCCAGGTGGTGCAGGCCAAGCCACTGGTCTTAACCGAATCTTGTGAAACAATAACACTTATCCAGTGCCGTTCTGCCACTGCTGCTGTCGACATAAGATTCCGAGCCTGTGTTAATGCTCAAGGAAATCACTTTGAACAAAATTTAATAAGAATGTTAATGTGTACATTTAATTAACAAAGTAGTTACAACAAGTAAATAGGTTTTATTTATTTCATGTAACACAAACAATGCATAACATTGAAAGTATTTAGGTGTGAATATCTCCTAAACAAAGCGTTTGCGGAAATACCACCAGAGGAAATTTTGTTCTTTACTCCTTAGATCCTTTTCTCTATATCAGTGTTTTTTTTTTTCAGTTAAATCCATTTTTTTAGATATAGGGCTATTAGATATTATATTTTCGTATTAAATATATCATTTAAACATAATTTTTAGTTTTCTAAGTTGGTGAATTAATATTCATTAATAAGTATTAATACAGAATGTTCTATTCCAGTAAACGTCACATTTCATGCTTTCGAATTCAAGGAGTACCGATATTACTACCCATATTAAAATAATTCTGCAACAGGAAAGGTGTTATTTTCTCTATCTATTCCTAAAAACAGATAGAGGACCTTGGGGTTCTAATTACTCAGATGAGGTGAAACCTCTTCTCTCACAGGTTGGAGAAGAACTTAAAAGTAATGTAACCCCTTTATTTTGTATTAATTGTTAGGTATTAAATTTCGTTTTTTCCACAGCTGTTGTTATTTAATCAATGATAATTATTGTAGTGGATCAGTTTGATTATAATATTTTGGAATCGGTCATTTCAAGTATTAATTTCACTTAAAAGAAGACACTTTGAAAGTCAGTAGTTACTAATGAAAAGCAAACTGATTTCAGAACATTAGCTCAGGAATTTTAATAAAACAATCATTAAAAAATAACAAAAAACCAAAATTGGAATTGGAATTGTCCAGCAATATAGGTCTTTTAAAATTTGATATTTTTGGTTGATTTACACAATACATAATATCAAAATATTAAAAACATTAAATAGTCTATAAATTATTTTTTAATTTTTGATTATTAGCATTTTCTTTATATTTTAAATAAATGTCGAACTTCCATTATATACCAAGTTTAACATGTTATACAGTGAAAATGAAATTTGAATTGGAATAATAATTGAAATGTTTGAATAACAATTTCATTTCCTTTGAATGGTGAATTATTTGATCAATTAAAAGTTTTGTTCTTGGAATGAAGACTATTAGCTGATAAATAACAAATAAAACCTTAAAATTCCAATTTTAATATATTACAACAATAATTATAAATGGAAAAGAGCTCACAGGTAAACAAACTACATGAATTTGAATAATATATTTAATTTAATGAAGTATAGAAAAATGAGAAAAAAAAAGCTAGTATAATTTAAACCCAGTTAAAGAGATCATTAATACAAAATCATACAAATGTATTAATTATTTAGAAAAAAAAAATATATATATACAGTTAAGGTCATTGATTCTTCTTGTAATTTGTTTTTCTTTGCCATTATACAGGGTGTTTCAGAGTTAAGTGGCCAAACTGCTAAAATGATTTAAAGACCTTAAAACAAGAAAAAATTTTCACTAAGGGTATGTCCCCAAATGCTTTGTTTAAGAGATATTCACACCTAAAGATTTTCGTTGTTGTGAATTATTTACGTTATATGAAGTAAATAAAACCCATTTATTTGTTCTAACTATTTTATCAGTTAAATATATACATTAACATTCATATTAAATGTTGTTCAAAGTGATTTTTTTTAAGCATTAACACAGGCTCGGCATCTTTCTTCAGCAGCAGTAGAGGAAGAACAGTACTGGATATGTGTTATTGTTTCACAAGATTCAATTATCCTTCTTCGTAAATAATTAAAGTCATTGACCGGACTTGCATAGAATTTTTATTTAATGTCACCCCAAATAAAAAAATCCAGTGGTGCCAGGTGGTGCAGGTAAAGCCACTGCTCTTACCCAAATCTTGTAAAACAATAACACTTATCCAGTGCCATTCTGCCACTGCTGCTGTCGACATAAGATTCCGAGCCTGTGCTAATGCTCAAGGCAATCACTTTGAACAAAATTTAATAAGAATGTTAATGTGTACATTTAATTAACAAAGTAGTTACAACAAATAAATAGGTTTTATTTATTTCATGTAACACAAACAATGCATAACATTGAAAGTATTTAGGTGTGAATATCTCCTAAACAAAGCGTTTGCGAAATACCACCAGAGGAAATTTTGTTCTTTACTCCTTAGATCCTTTTCTCTATATCAGTGTTTTTTTTTTCCAGTTAAATCCATTTTTAGATATAGGGCTATTAGATATTATATTTTCGTATTAAATATATCATTTAAACATAATTTTTAGTTGGCTAAGTTGGTGAATTAATATTCATTAATAAGTATTAATACAGAATGTTCTATTCCAGTAAACGTCACATTTCATGCTTTCGAATTCAAGGAGTACCGATATTACTACCCATATTAAAATAATTCTGCAACAGGAAAGGTGTTATTTTCTCTATCTATTCCTAAAAACAGATAGAGGACCTTGGGGTTCTAATTACTCAGATGAGGTAAACCTCTTCTCTCACAGGTTGGAGAAGAACTTAAAAGTAATGTAACCCCTTTATTTTGTATTAATTGTTTAGTATTAAATTTCGTTTTTTCCACAGCTGTTGTTATTTAATCAATGATAATTATTGTAGTGGAGCAGTTTGATTATAAGATTTAGGAATCGGTCATTTCAAGTATTAATTTCATTAAAAGAAGACACTTTGAAAGTCAGTAGTTACTAATGAAAAGCAAACTGCTTTTAAATTTCATGTAATGCAAACAATGCATAACATTGAAAGTATTTAGGTGTGAATATCTCCTAAACAAAGCATTTGTGGAAATATGTGTGGATATGTGTTATTGTTTCACAAGATTCAATTATCCTTCTTCGTAAGGAATTAAAGTCATTGAACGGACTTGCATAGAATTTTTATTTAATGTCACCCCAAATAAAAAAATCCAGTGGTGCCAGGTGGTGCAGGCCAAGCCACTGGTCTTAACCGAATCTTGTGAAACAATAACACTTATCCAGTGCCGTTCTGCCACTGCTGCTGTCGACATAAGATTCCGAGCCTGTGTTAATGCTCAAGGAAATCACTTTGAACAAAATTTAATAAGAATGTTAATGTGTACATTTAATTAACAAAGTAGTTACAACAAGTAAATAGGTTTTATTTATTTCATGTAACACAAACAATGCATAACATTGAAAGTATTTAGGTGTGAATATCTCCTAAACAAAGCGTTTGCGGAAATACCACCAGAGGAAATTTTGTTCTTTACTCCTTAGATCCTTTTCTCTATATCAGTGTTTTTTTTTTTCAGTTAAATCCATTTTTTTAGATATAGGGCTATTAGATATTATATTTTCGTATTAAATATATCATTTAAACATAATTTTTAGTTTTCTAAGTTGGTGAATTAATATTCATTAATAAGTATTAATACAGAATGTTCTATTCCAGTAAACGTCA